CCTAGGTGTTCTTTGACTCTGACCTCTCCTTCACGCCTCATGTTCCGTCTATCACCAATTCCTGCCGCTTTCATCTAAAAAACATTGCGCACGTCCAACTCTACTTAACGCCATATGTGACTAAGGTGCTGGTCCATTCCACTGTCCTTGACTACTGTAATCTGCTTCACAGTGGTCTGAGGTGCTCCCAATTTGCACCGTTACAGTTGTGGTGACATTCTGTTATCAAACTAATATGGTGACCAGGGGTCATGTGACCAAGCTCATGTTTGCCTTTCTTACAGTGGGAAAAGCTTTACCCTTTGAAATGGTAATTGGGTAATTCAATACCTTTACAAGTCAGGAAAGAGATAACTACTTGCCCCTTTCTCCATTCCTCTCTGTTCCTTCTTGGCTGTGCTGCAGAGCAGATATGCAGACGCCATGTGCTATCTTGGTGAACCATGTTACTCTCTGTTGCTTCCTTTTCTTCCTTGCTGGATGTGATGTTGAACTTGCAGCAGTGAGCCATTACTAGATGTGAAGGCCTAACCGTGGGTGAGATCAAACGTGTGGGGAAGGGGATTACTGTATAGATAGATTTAAAAAGGGTTGTTGCTCCGTGGGTCTGGGCTGTGTGTTTGTGATACATTTATAGTATTGTGTTGTTGCCTTTTAATAAATACCTTTTAATGTAGACGAACCTTGTGTAATATATATATATATATATATATATATATATATATATATATATATATATATATATATATATATTAATTTGGTGATACACCACAACAGTCCATAATGATTGTGGCGGCGAGGCTCGTCTTCCTGTCCGCCCACAACTCCCACGCCTCACCCTTCTGTCAGTCCCTACATTGGCTTCCCGTAAGATATAGGGCTCAATTTAAAATTCTTGTTATTGCTTTCAAATCTCTACATAATGCTGCTTCCACCTATCTATTCTCACTAATACACAAGTATGTCCCGTCTAGGCCCTTACGATCTGCTGAAGACTTACGTCTATCGGGTAGAGGAGAATTAGAACCCGGGCTAGAGCAGCAGGAGCACGTGAGATTAAAGTTCGGCGACGGCTGGCTCTCCAGTGGCCCGATTTTGTGCTAAACCAGAAGCAAGAGTTAAAAGCTGAATTGAGAGAGACCGACTGGGAAGCACTGGGCAGAAATCTGACTACAAGCGGTGAGCAGAGAATTCAAGCTCAGGCTCAAGCAGTGAGTGAACGTGAGATTAACCCCTTAAGGACACATGACATGTGTGACATGCCATGATTCCCTTTTATTCCAGAAGTTTGGTCCTTAAGGGGTTAAAGACCGGAGACAGTTGGCTCTCCAATGCTGTGATTTTCTGTCACACTAGAAGGTAGAGTGAACTCTGTGTTTTCCCTGGATGCTTACGCTGGGGGAACCTGAATAACCTAAGGAGAACCTTCTTATTACATGCGTTGATATTTGCAGAGGGACTCCTCTTCATTGGATTGGAGACCAGAAAGCAAAGGATCTAAGGTCTGTGAGTAATAGATGAATCATAAAAGCTTTAAAGTTATGGGGGCGTGGCCACGACACTGATGTGAGAGGACGTGTGCTGAGGGCTCCTGCCGAAACTCCACTTTAAGAGCTGAAGAAAGCATTTCATACTTTTGTTACGCCATGGGTAACAAAAAACGTTCTACTGCCTCTCTTGAACCCCCCGGACCAGGTACATGCCAAAAAAGCTGGAGACCTGGATAAATACTTCCGAGACAGGAGCAGAATCCTGATGGTGGAGACGGAGGACAGTTCACAGGCGCCATATTTGCCTTGCATCCCTCCGACGGGGTTCCTCACGTTCTCTGAGCCCGCACTGGATTACAGAGATCACAACATACACGCTCTTCTACAAAATCTACCATCCAGGGAAGACATGGCTAATATGCTGGCTAAACTGGAATCAAGTCGCCCATGTGGGCGACTTATTTCAAATGCTCACTCTCAAAATTCCAGATAGTTGGTTGAATGTGATACAAGGGTTAATCTATTTATTTGGAGGAAACAACCATGATTGTTATCATAAACCTCTACCTAATATTGAAAGTTATATTTTAAAACATTTGAATAAGACTTGGGATTCTGTCAAAAAATTCCTAGATATTAGGGAAAGAATTTTAGTTTAATGTCATTGGGGGTACTGAAGGCCAACACAATTTAGCCTTAACAAGTTGGAAAATATGTAATATTACAATTATAGACTACCTAATGGAAAAAACTAAAATAAAATAATTTTTACTTTTAACAAAATAGTTTAATCTTCCTGCATCTGAGCTTTTTATTTTAATTTTTTTAATTCTTTATTTTAGTCGTGCATGGGTTAAACAAGCTGGTTTGCACTGCCAGAATAACTGGTGCGAACTGATCTTAGACATAGTATAACAATAGTTTGGCATTGAAGAAAAAAAAACATTGCACATTTTGTTAAAAGGACAGATTATAGCACAGCATAGCGTAAGGAGGAAATAGCTTGATTTTAGCATTTCAAGGTAGTATCATGGTATCACATATAGAGAATTACAACATGTGCGAAGCATTTCAGGTTGCACTTAGTATGTTGGGCATGTCAGTAGTGTTATGCTATTATGAAAAAATCTGACACCTTGTAAAACCTATGAAAAATGCAAATGCACATATAACAACGAGTTGTCTAACTCAAGCAGTATGTTTTGTCAAGCTTGATTAAGCTTAGATAAATGTATGGATGTGTGGCTACATGTCTACCTTATGACTGTCATACAGGTGAGGACCTAGTATAGGACGATGTAAGCTATGATGAGTGTTTCTGCTTGGTCGTCTGGAGTTTAAAGATTGTGTCCCTTGTGTGTTAGTCCTGGATGGGATACTCTGCTTGTCTGTGTAAGGCACACATGGCACCGTGACTAGAGTCCCAGGAACACGGGAATGGAAGCTCGTGGCTGTCCCTGTCATCCGATTCCTTCCGGTGGTTTATCGCTGGAGCCAGTCTGTGAGCCTCTAGGTGCCGCCATGGTAAAGATGAAGGTGCGGGTGGGGGCGTCCCTCCAGACCCAGGCTGTAGTGTTGGCCGGCATTTCTGTGCCACAAACCTGGTAACTACATGAGTCTGAGTCTTGTCCTCGAGTGGAGGTGCCGGAGGGTCTACTGGTCTGTAGCCGTTTGCGGCGCGTTCGCCTCCGCTTGTATGGGTAATGCCTCAAGGTTTGAGCCCTCATGGCCTTCAGCCTGGGAGGGCTCTGTGGGTTGGCAGATGCTGAGTGAGTTGGTGCCCAAGGTTAGCCCCTTCGCTCCCCATTGTTTGCAGTGAAGCACGCCTTTTGCAGGGAGCTGTTGGTGTCTCGTCTGCTCCGCCTGAGCCCGCTTCTGTAGCTTTTCCCAGAAGCACAGGAATATTTGTTCCAGGTGATGGAGAGAGTTAGCGGTGGTGCAAGGATGGGGCTCTTGACTTAAAGGCAGGCTCAGTCTCTCAGGTATGCAGGCAGCCGCCATCTTGTGGACGTAACGAGGCAGAAGCGTTCCAGGGTTGTTACTCAGCTTGTGGGACTGGGGCTAGGTTGATAGCTCCAGACGTGTAGCGTGGACCGGGATAACCCCCACTGGTCATGGGGGGATAGGAGGTGTGAGTGCGTGTCCGATTTTGGGGCCGCGAGCGGGAAGAGCAGCCGTCTCCTTCCGCCTCGAGCCTCAGAAGGCCTCAGTAGCCCGATCGTGGTACCCGGTTATCGATCCCCAATGCATGATAGCCGGTTGTTCGCCCGGGTGTTTCCCTGCTGTTTAAGAGCCAACTTGGAGCTGGATGTGCCGAGTTTCTTGGGGTTTTTCCCCCAAACAGTTGATTTGGTTTAGGAGCTGGGACTCGGCACGTCTGCTCTGCTCGGCTGTTCAGCTCCCGCATCTGAGGTTTTTAATTACCGAAGAGTAAAGTATACACTGAAGCAATGTTTAAGGTTTAGTAAATCAGGAATAAACAAGGTTTTTTTGAATTTAACAATTTTTATTGGTCAGTAAATGCATATAACGGTGTGGTTCTCATGTATTTGTACTTTGTCATTTAACAAATTATCATTACATAATAGGTTTATACAACTCTTTCATTGTGTCTTTTCCTCCTCCTCTGCTGTATACAACTAGTAGGTGTCTGATATATCATTGAGGCATTTGAAACAAAGTTTAGTATTCGATAACCTATCAGGATAGTACAAACAGGATAGTACAAAAATTGCATATACTGAACCTTTTCGATCATGGGGGTTGGGTTGGAGGGAGGGGCGGAGGGCTTTGAACAACTTGGTGGCAGAGATTTGCTAATTTAAACCTGTTTGGAGACTTTCCTGTGACTCCATTAGGACGTTCCTGAGTTGGGTGTGCCCTTTGCTTTAGAGTGTTCAATAGTGTGTGCGTGTCTTATGTGTTTCTTTGCGCCAAATTGATGTGCAAAGATCATTTCATAGGCCCAATTGAGCTTAATTTGGTTTATGAGGAATTACCGGGTTTGGGGCTACTGTTTTTTCCAGAACCTTTAGTAATGATGTGTAAAATGTAATTTGAGATTGGTGATAATGTAATAGTTCTTCAATTCTTCTTGTCTTCAGTTGATTGATATATATACGTCTTTTGTATATATATTCTTGGGCCAAATGCTCACTACAATAATATATGTCTATATTATTGAAAAGTAGTAATACGCAATCTGACTTACGGTTTCTTCAGGTTTATTCTTTGTTACGGATACATAATAAAACATAATAAATAATGTTACAGGATAATGTACATTCAACAGCAGATGGTAATTGCTGTACTTCTGATGGGAGAGTTACATCGTTGTACAGAGCCGAGAGCCAAGCCAAGAGAGACTGAGAGACCTCGTGTCCCTCTGTTACTATATAGAAGTGCTAATACTAATGTCAGCATATAACTCTAGCCATATAAGGACAAAACCCCCACATCCACATTCCAGAGCTCTCGGACAAAGAAAGCCTTGTGACTTATTGATACCATCTGTTACTTATGTCAATCCACACATCCATATATATAATCAATAGAAACATAGAATATGCAATATTCTACATTCCCTCTGTTTATGGTTTGTTTTAAAACCATAACACAATGTAATTAACCTGTCCATTCATACATCACTTGTATCACATTCATTGAGCATAGAACAAGATGTAGTCACAACTTTCTATTATAGAGAGTTCTTGGAAGGTCGAGTTTCTATCCCTCATACTGCTTACTTTACTTCAAACTCCCTTTGTTTCAGCTATGTATTGATATCCATATCCATATTACATCATAACTACTTGAACATAATATATACATATATAACAATAATAAATGAATAAAATATTTACAAATGTTGATCCAATAAACAATAAAGCAATCAGAAAGATCTACCTGCTCGGGTACAATCATGTCTTTGTAGACAACAAAATCAAGATGATAACTTTCTAAATAATAAGAACTGTGTTTCACTATCATATTCCTACAGACACACAAATAGCATAGTATTTTCATTCTCAATACCTGATATTACTTGAGTACTAATACATGTATTACTATAATATACGTCCAATTATATTTCCATGAATCATATGGTTTCTAGCAACCTTAAAATATTTAGGTCATTTGTATTCACGAATTACCTTCCTATACCATTAATACCACCTAGTGATGATTGTATCAGTACTTTACAATCATAGTATTTAATTTGTATATTCAGTAGGCTCTCACTAACTAAAATATATCAACACTACTTATAAGACTCATTCAAAGGATGTGTTATCAACCATGAAGTTCTATAATAATTCTTCAAATAATGTTCATGGTGTTGACAATACTTATTGTCCTAGAAATTCTTCACCCAGAAATCTTTCTATCATAGATTTCTTTTTGTTCACATAATTATAATTTTGACTAAAATTCCACCTTGTAGTAACAAACTTTAAATTCAATAGAAACATGGTTTACTTTAAAATAACTTGGAAAGAATAATTTAAATTCATTAGCATCACTCTCTTCATTAGCATTGTGATGACTTATTAATGTAATACATCTTAAAATCAGGATTGTCTTAATGTTCTGACTAAACCGTATTCCTTAGTACACTTCAACTGACTAAAATAAAATAAAATAAACTTGGGGTCATACTGCCCAGAAACTCTTATTCCTAGTCTGTGTCTAACAAACTCTAACAAACTAAAACACTTATAACAACGTATTCATTGGATACCGTCATATCCAGAAACCTATTCTCCCTAGTCCATACCTTTTATAGACTTAGGTCAAATATAATTGTGTACTATACTCTTAACTAAACTTCAATTCAATTCCTCTTGGATCTCTGAACTCTTATATCCAAGGCATTCTTAATGTATATAATTACTTCATATAAATCAATATAAATTATTCTTCCTTAGTTTTCTTCCTTATGTTACCATTGTTTGTTTTACTTCACCTCAATATAAACAAATTACTCATTCTTGTGAATCTATGAAATACTATTAAACTCAATCTTTGTAGTATTAAGTAACCATGATCCTTATTTTATCAACTTCATATTTTATCTACCTCTGATACTTCTCATCCTATGTATAGGTCTTCTCTTCATAATACTATCCTTTCGTAATTTTACTCCATGTGTTATCTAGCTATAAGTAGTCTCTTTTGGTATTAATACTCATAACTGTTAAATAACTTTTCATTGTCTGTTTTCTTCTTCATTAATATTTAGGAATTGATATGTATGTTAGTGTCAATCTTTTATTTCTTTGTAAGTCTGTTAATCTTCTGTATTGAATGAACTCTGTAGAATCTTCCATCACTGTTTGCCGATCAGATGAAAAGTCTCTTTCCAACAGTCGATGTCCAGTTGTCTGAAGGAATGCTTTCCTAATTTATTGCCACAAGGATCTGTCACGCTTTACCTACATTAAAACAAAAAAAATGTGCAGCATCAATACAATGGCTTACAATGTTTATATCTCATTATTATTATACAGTTTAACATTGAATTATATTGACTACACAAAACATTCTAATTTCTTCTCATGAGATCTACCATCTAGTGGTCATTGCATTTATGCCATGTGATGTATAATCTTTACATTTCCTTTATATCAAAATATCTTTTCTACACATTTTAATTTTGCCAAACTTTTTATTAATCCTACCCCCTTTTAAACTGTTTAATAATCTGGAGGTATAACCTAATCACATATAAGATGTTACAACAAGAAAAATATTGTTTTCCACTATACTTTAGCAATAGCAGCCATTTTGTCTTCACACTGGCACCATTTTGTCACATGAAACAAACTACAAAAAACATATATTGTTTCCTTCATCAAATCTGTAAATCTAGGTTTTATCCTATCAAAACTTTTGTCTTCTATGTAGTCAAAACATATGTATGTCTAGGCTTTGCAAAATATAGTAATCCATTATCAGTCATGACATTAAAATCTCATTCTCATGAATTAAATCAAAGATTTTAAATCAACCTCAGAAGCAACAAGGAATATATTCATTGTTTTTTTCCTTCTGTAAAATGATTGGAGTTACTGTATAATCGCATATACCAAATATAACAAATTGCATGTGCCTAACTGCTACATTAGTGTATTTCATTCTGCCATATTTGCAAACTTGATGTAAATTTTTATTTTAATTAATTAACCTAATACTTTCTTATAACACACATAAAACAATGAAAAAACAGTACAGACTAACAATTCATTAAAACAACAAACTAACATAGATCTCTATTCTTGTGTCCCTGTTCTTAATTCTGGAATCAGCCTGTGCACATCTGTTGGCACACATATCCATGCTTATTCCCTAAACTGATCACATCTCTTGAAGTTATCTGATTCTTATAACTTTCTGTGTTACACTGCATTGCTTGTCTGTCTCCTAATTTCGATTTAGCTAAAATTGCTTTTATTTGTCTGATTATAAGTTTACAAGGAAAGGCTTTAATTGATTTATCTCCACATGTATTTTCTCTGTCAAAATTTTCAATCAACAAATTTAATTTCTCATTTGCTTTTGATTTGATATCTCGGATAAAATATCTGCAAGATCTTAAATAATGTTGTTTATTGCACCAAAAACAAATAACTTTAGGAGTTATATTCTGCCTTTGATTTAAGCAAATTGGGAGTGGCTCTGCTGTCTGTATCACTCTTTTACACTGAGTCCACGAAGAAGAAGAAGGAGGGGGACGAGGGCTGTAACATCTGCACTTCTTTGTCTGCCTAAATCCACAAGTCGTTTTAACCCCTTCATTATTGGTTTCCCTCCTTAAGTTATCCAAGAACAAAGCTACCTCTGTCAAAGTGCTTTTTTCTCTAGCTAACACAATTGCAGTTGGATCTAGATCTTGACATTTTTTCACAAATTCATTAATTAACTGATCTTCAGAAAAATCAGCAACAAGTCTATATGCACTTTCAAATTTTACAAGAAAACTAAATATATCCTCCCCTTTGTGTGGTTTTAGTTTTTCCAACATTTCAGTATCTGCAAAATCATTCCCTGTTGTTAATTTTATTAATTGTGTTAATCTGTCGTGCTTATTTCCATATATTTTATCATTGTCCTGAAATCTTAGGGGCGCGGTCAGTCTACATGCCATTTGAGTCGGCAGCCATGTTTTAAACAATCTATTCCTTTGTTCGTCATTTAGGCTGTATTTGTCCAAATTTGACTCAAACATTTCAGCATTAGTAAATGCATCCACTGACGTGTCATAAGCTGGAATACATTTCACAATTTTCATTAATTGTTCATGGATTTTCAAATTAAGTTTTGCAGCTCTGTCTTGAAATTTACATTTCTGCAAATCACTCTGTGAGGTTACATTTTCAGTATCTATTAGTTCTGGGATTAGATTCTGTGCCTGTATTTTTCTTGTATTAACACACTCGTGCTTAACTTCATTTGTAAGCTGGCAACTAAAATCATTACTAAATTCAACTCTATCCTCTAATTCACAGACTGTTTCTGACAATGTTCTCTCTGTTACATTGTTACACTGTTAATTTAAATCTGATTTGTCTGTTAACCCATTCAAATCTATTTCTTTATCTGCTGATTCTAAATTGTCTTGACCTGCATCACGTTTACAAATCAATGCATTGTAAGTACAGACTAATTTCATAACATTTCTGATCTTTTGTTTTTTCTTATTAACAAACAATTTCTTGTCAATTTCACTATTGGCAATTTCACATTGTGTGTATAAAGATTGCCACAATACAGCATCTGAATAGCTGCTATTACATGCAAACTGCCATTTACTTTTCTCTGCAATATCATTTATGAATTCCATGTTACTCACCAGATCAGTTATTTCTGTCTATTTCGTTGCTTCATCCACACAGCTGCGCAGTTCTTTGCTTGGATCTGGAAATTTGCCAATCTCTGCCACGTGCTTGCTTCTAGAATTCACGTTGTATCTTGTGCTTTTTGTCTCAGTTGTAGAAAATAGTCTTGTACAGTCTTTGAGATTTGAAAACTTTTTTTTTTTTCTTACAAACCACAGTCTAGATTCTTTTTTTTCTCTTCAAGTTTGTTTTCCCAGTTCCAAAATAGCTTTGTAACTCGATTCTTCTCTCTCCCCCCTTGAAGTGGGAACAAAACTTGAATAGAAGACTGGCTGGCTGGCCAATGTAAAATATGATGCTCCCCAGTTCCCTGTGACAGGAGTGTATGTGTGTCACCCATCAGATCTGAAGTCTGGAGTAGCAGTTTGTAGCTTACGGATTATGGTTCCAATGCCAGGACATAAAGCAGCGGGGATAGGGGGCAGCCTTGGCAGGATCCATTAGATATTGTAAATTTGTCAGAGCAGAATCCTACATTTAGGACTCTCGCGGTTGGGTGGCTGTATATAGCTGCTACCGTGTCAGTAAATTGAGGAGGGAATCCAAATTTTTCCAGAACTGGTCTCAGAAAACCCCAGTTTAGCTTGTCAAAGGCCTTCTCCTCGTCTGAGTCCCATCCTCCTTATGCTATGGATCAGGTCTAGGACTTTCCGGGTGTTGTCAGCTCTGTCTCCCCGCTACGAACCTCACTTGGTCGTCGTGCATTAGGGTCGGTGGTATGGGGCGTATTTTTTAGCATATAACTTAGCGTCCGTGTTTAGGAAGGATATTGGCCTATAGTTTGGTGCAATGGGTTGGTGGTTTACCCGGTTTTGGGAGTGTTGATGTGATGTGGGCTAGCAATAGTTCTTCTGGAAGCGATTTTTCCCGGGTGAGTTGGCTGAGTTGAAGAGGGATGTCAAGATCAGTTGGGTTGTGCGTTTGATCAGAGTGCGCCAGGTTATAGATCTTGTCAAAGTAGGCTGCGAACGTGTTGCTGATGTCTGTGGGTGAAACTACCTTTGTGTTGCTGGACGGGTATATATGGTATTTTAGCATTTGCCTCCACACGTCTCAATCTAACTGCTAATGTTCGTTGTCACGTGTGTATTTTGATTTCAGTAATGTCTTTGTCTTTTTGCGTTGCCACCGTTGGGTGTGTTTTATTTATGTTCGTGAGGTCTGTCAGTTGTTTGTGCCATCCATTGAGATCAATTTGCTCTTTTTGTGTGGGATGCTTACCTGATTAGGTGTCCCCTAATTACAGATTTATGTGCCTGCCATGTGGTGCTTATGAAGATGTCTCCGGTGTTTAGTGTGAAGAATTTGTTGATGGCCTTCCAAATTTCATTTGTGAAGGAGAGGTCTGACAGTAGAGACTCACTGAGTCTCCATGGGCTTTTGTGCTTATAATCATAGTTGTCTTTGAGGGTTAGTGTTAGGGGAGCGTGATCCGACCACAAGATCTGGCCTATGGAGCAGTCAAGTGTTGGCCTTCCATGTGGAATCTGTCTATTCTGGTGTATGTGTTGTGGTTGGGGGAGAAGTATGTATAGTCCTTTCTTGTGGGTGTAAGACACATCGTATAGTCCAGCAATTTAAGGTAGGTTGTGCATGTTTTCTGTTGCCTGGCCTGTGTCGTTTTAGGAGCCTGTGTGGTGGTGTCCCATCCAGGATCTAGAATGTGGTTGAAATCCCCACATAGAATCAGTATCCCCTCTTGGACTGGTCGGAGGAGGGTTTAGGATTTTTTGTATGAAGTTTCTCTGGTTTGTGTTCGGGGCATACACAATAGCTAGTGTATATTTAGTGTTATTGATCAAGACTACTATGAGATATCTACGTTCGGGTTCAGCTTTGGAGTTATGATGTTGGAAGGAGACCGTGTTGCTGATCATTATTGACGTCCCTATGGTTTTTCTCCCTGATGTGGCATGATACTGGTGTGGGAACTGGGACGGTTTTATGGTGGGTGGCATTTTAAAATGTGTCAAGTCGGATTGATCCCTCTTGAAGTCCCTGAAAAGACATTGTCTTTTGTATGGGGTGTTTAAACCCCTGACATTTATAGCTCTGTATTTTCATACTTTGGTGGGTAAAGTAAGACTGCTAGCCTAGATTTGTGAATAGTGTGTGCGGCCAAGAGCTTCCGCCAAGTTATCCTGTCTGCGCCATAATCCGGTGAAGTTTCATGTGTCTGAATTTGGCATTTGGCGGTGGCTAAAGCCTCCCTCAGGTGATTGTATATGTGCGCTGATTTCATTCGTCTCCATATTAGGATCGCCCTGCCTTTTTGATAGGTTATATGTGTCTCTCTCGGGGGAGGGGTGAAGAGGGTGGAAGAAGAGATCTTGGGTGGATCGTACTGTGAGAATGCAGTGATTACTACAGTAGTCCATTCGTGAGCAGTGGGTCCGAACTTTGGTACCATTCGGGAACGTGGTTACTTGAGAGTAAGCATAAAACATTAATACATTGGCCCTTCACATTTGCTATGACCAATTGCACTGCTGACCTACCATCGCAGTCTTAGTTTGTTTCCTGCATCAAGGAGGTCTATCTCAAGTCTAGTATCTTGCGGTAGTCATGTGGTGCTCAGTGACATTTCGTAAACATAACAGTGCATAACATTAACATTCAACACAATTTTTTTTTTTTCATTTTCCTTATTTCTTCCTTTTAGAATAACATACAGGTTTACAGGAGACCTCCTGCCTCTATATTGGCCTCTTTTCTAAACTAGATGGTGCCGTCCACTCTTCTGGTGGTGTAGCACGGTACATTCACAATGTGGCTTCAGCTTGTGTCAGCGGTGTGTGCTTGTGTGGGAAAGAGTTTGTGGACGGGTCGTGTGCTATCACTCCATGATTTGCCGTTGTGTGCGGCTCCTTAGCATAGTGTTATGTGTGACACTGCAGCGCCTCAAGGCTGAACCTAGTTTGCCTCATCTTGAGCTGATATGGTTCCTGTAAGCCTCTGAAGGAGCCATCTTTGTAATTGGCGCGGAGGGGCGTTATACAATTAGGTTTTTACAATTGCAGGGGTAACATGCGGCATTCCCTGACTTGGCGCCCCAGACAAACCATTTCATTTGTACATTAGGTAGTTATACTTATTTTCCAGTACAATATAATAAATTTTTCAGTTTTGACCAACACACAGTCTCGTTACTCTAAGGTTGCGGCTGTCGAGTGTGAGTGATGGTGCATGCACGGCAGTTTGAATCTAGCGGATGACGTGTGTGCTGGCTTCCAGTGAGCTTTTACCTTGAGGACGCTCTGCCCGCATGATGGGCTACAGCTAGTGGCTCCATCTTATGCCCGTGTGTAAGGGTATTTGCCCGTGCTGAGCTGCCCTATTGGGCCATTTGGAGCTGTTGTACGCTGTGTGGCCGCTCACCTATGTTATGCAATAGCGGACACCTTAAGCTAGTGCTATGCCGCCTGGGGTAATACTCTAGTGTTGGTGTTGGTTTCCCCATTTCTGCCGCAAGTACAGTGGTGCCAGGAAGGATTGTGCTCCTAATTGGTGGTCAAACCAAGGTGGTATGGTGGAATAGTTCATCGCACCCTTCCCATGGGTGAGGTGGTGTTAAGCGTGTGTGAGCGGCTTATAGGGCAGTGTGTGTGCCAGTTTCCAGTGGGTATACTACTGCTAGTACGCCTCAAGGTAGTGTTAGAGGTCTTATTGTAATGTAGTCACCTGTACCTGAGACCAGGCTGTGGTGGTGCATCAACTTGGCTTCTAAGTAACAAAATTGGGTATAAACTTCA